AAATTTTCATGCGTCCAACACATTTACATAAAACAAGTTGGATTTACCCATTTGGCGATAAATTTCAACAATAAATGGACAGCACACAATTCACTTGTTTTATAAAAATATATTCCAAACAAGTCATACGTATGCACAAAAGAAATTCTTTACACTATAGATTATTACAGTTGAATCTAGAGCTTCAAATAATTATCTTTTTCGTCAAAAGTACAGACAGGCTTGTTCAGGTACTTCAAAACCCAACTGACAAAACAAATTATTTCTTCTCCACTTTATTATCACAATAGAATCAGTGATAAATTCACTTACGTTACCCCGTGGGTTACCACAGTTGTATCCAGAGCTTTCAAGAATTCTCTTTTACGTCAAAAGTCCACACAGTCTCGTTAAATTACTTTAGAACCCAATTGACCAGACGAATTATTTTTCTCTATTTCTGTTGTTAGCATACAAGTGTAATAGAAGTGCTTCTAACTGCTTTTGATGTGTTTAGCTTCCCCATTAGAACCGCTTTGATAGATATGATACAATACTTCTTTCTGGTTCTCCATTCAGTAGGTCTCTTCCCCTTTGTTTTGTGCTAGACTTTCTCTCGGGCACTGTCCTAAAGTTTCTGCAGTGACGGATCTTTCTTCTGCGCTTCCTTCAGCTCCCGTGGACCTACATTTGGTATGTTACTTTTCGAGACTTAAAGGGGCTTGATGTCTTGCTTGCTCTTCTCCCCTTAAGCTCTTGGGGTGGTTGCAGATGTCACATCAGTCTCCTTTCTGACTGGTTCCTCCAAACTTCTTCTGCCTAGTATGTTGGCAATCTTCAAGTCATAGATTGGTGCTTTCATAGATATGGCCTCAAGGTCTCTCACATAGTATGGAGTGTCCACCTATCTTCTTACTATGGGAGACTTTTTTACTGTCTCATCAATCAGCGCACACAGATGTACCTTGTCTGTTATAAGATACTAGAATGATTCTCACTGCTGCTTCTGTACCCAGTGTCTCATCAATCAGCGCACACAGATGTACCTTGCCTGTTATAAGATACTAGAATGATTCTCACTGCTGCTTCTGTACCCAGTGTCTCATTTTCTTGTCCCCGACATAACCTTCACCTACTGGCATGTTGTGATTTGTGGCCACCTCTCGATGTTTGTCATACGCTCCAATCTCTACTAGCACTGTTGATCCATTTGCTAACTTGAACTGACCATCAGTCATGCACTGTTTAATCATGAACACAGTACTTCCTTTCTGTGGTGAATTTTACAAGTTGCCTCTATTCTGTTTATTCTGGCAGTAACACCAATGGTGATAGTCACTCATTTCTTGTTTCTTGCTAGCACCATCTTTGTAGGTAGCTCCAGTTGGTATATGTTGAAATTTCTGCTGTTGCCTGTTGGTTACAGACTTGCACTCATTCACAACATGCCCCATTTTATAACAAATATGGTATCTCTTCTCCATTTTGTCCACCGAGTTTTTGTCACCTTTGGTGGTATCATGTTTCTGGTTTGTCAGTGGAACATGTGATCATAAACTGTTCGTATATTAGTAGATCTGCTAGTCCCCCAAAACTATTTTCACACTTGGTCATGTTAGTCCTACTTGTAATATCTCTCTGTAGACGCACCATAAATTGAAATACAATTTCTCTAGTGTCAGGTTTGAATTCTTTGAACTTCCGAAGAAAACCTTCCTAGGTAAGTTCATAATGTTTCAACAAGGCCACTTTTAACTTGTCATAGTCCATGGCATCTTCTGACGTCATGCCTGCATACACTTGAAGGTCTTTTCCTGTGAGAAGTGGGCTGAGACAGACTGCTCAGTCGTCTTTGTCCCAGTTCTGACTTTGGGCAAATCTTTCATATCTATAAAGGAAAGCATCCATGTTATTTTCTGTTCATCAAATTTTGGCAGCTTGGGTCAGCTGGCCCTGACTTCATTGTCATTCCTGGGTTCTTTGTCTTTCTGTTGGGTGAGCTTGGCAATCTCAGTTTGTGCTCTTATTCCTTCTATTTCCAGTTTCTCCCCTCTCTCCTTTTCTTTTTTTCTCAATTTGTATTGTTATTCTCTCTATTTACAGTCTCTCCTTCTTTCTCAATTTGTTCATTTATTCTCTCTTTCCCTTTCTTCAATCTCTCCTTTTCTTCTTTCAGTCTTTCTTCCTCTCTTCTTTGCCTATACTATTCTCTCTCTAATTCTTGTTGTTGTTGTTTAGCAAACTCTAGTAGATCGCCATCTTTTAGCCCAAGTTATTAGTCCATTTATTAAAGTTAGTCGACATGGTTGTATAGCATGATAGTAATCTCTACACTATTTTCGTCATCACTACATTTGTGCATATATAGGCCCACTTCCGTTGTTGTTAACTTCTTATTTTATTGTTGTTTACCATTATATAATTCTGGCTGGCTTGCCAAATGTCAGGTTTTGTATAGGGGCCAGGATTCTTTACAGTAGGTGTCTATGACTTGTTGGCAATACATTTCAACAATAAATAATTGTTTTAAAATAATATATTCAAAACAAGTCAAACGTATCTACAAAAAAAATCCTTTACACTATAGGTTATCACAATTGAATCTAGAGCTTAAAATAATTCTCTTTTTTCATCAAAGAAGTCCACACAGTCGTGTTCAGTTACTTCAGAACCCAATTGACAAGACGAATTTCTTCTTATCCACTCGTTTTATTACAATAGAATCAGTGATAAGTTCATTTATGTTACCCCGTGGGTTACCACAGTTCTATCCAGAGCTTTCAATAATTCTATTTTATGTCAAAGGTCCATACAGGCTGGTTCAATTACTTTAAAACCCAATTGACCAGACAAATTCTTCTTCTCTATCTCTGTTGTTACAATACAAGCTGTGAAACTCGCTTCAAAATCACCACTATAGCAGTTGTTTACCACAGTTGTATCCAGACCTTTAAATAACTGTCTCCTTTTCATCAAAGTCCACACAGGCGGGTTCAATTACTTTAAAACATCCTTTGATAAGACAAATTATTCTCCTTTATCTCTTCTAACACAATACAAACTGTGAAATTCACTTTAGATATCGCCCGTTATGGCTAAACTGACAATCATGCAGTCTAACTTTTTCACTTTTACTTTCACTAACTTACTTACTTCTTCTCTGTATCTGCAAGTATTTATAAAACACGACAGAAAAATCTAGAAATATCTAGCCCCTAATAGCAACAATGTTAAGCATAAGGAGGAAAACTTAGAAGCTTCGAATAAGAGGATGTCAACAATATTACAAAATCCTACTAGAACAATTGAATTGCATACGTAATGTACAACTCGTACAGTTACGTAACGAAACTTGTCATAACTATCTCTTTTAAAATATTTAATTTTTAACACTCTTATTATGAAAATTAAATATTAAATCACTAAATAATAACTCTTAAACTAAACAATCTTATCACTAAATAAACTGAATAATAACTCTTAAACTAAACAATACTGTATATCCAACAAATACTTTCTTGCAGGTCCCAAGCAGTGATATAGACAATTTTTGATTTTTCTCAATTTTTCTGGTGTAAAAATTGGCTATGTTAGGGTTGGGCAGAGACATGTTGCATTCGCCGGCGAATGTTGACCGCTATACTTTATTGTTTTATTACTTTCAAACTAGAAATTATATGTAATAGATGAGTTATAACTGATATGAATATATTCGTTCTGAAACGTCTTGGATTAATATTTATCTGCCGATACTGCTTACAGTATTGATAGCTCCTATAGTCCGATGGTGCCTACAGAATCAATATTGCCTATAGTGCTTATTCGTTCAAATGTCACCAACCATGTAAGAACCTGCAGATTTTCACCAACAGTTTTCCTCCCAGGATCCTGTCTGATTAGTTCACACCAGTAAAACTAAAGCAAAATAACCCAATATTACTTTCACTTTATAAGTAGTGAACATCGTTCTGTAACAGCTTTTGAACACGAGACATAAATATCAATAAGTTCCACTTAATTTTCAGTAACATCGATTATTTGTTAAAAGTTGTCAAGTTTTAAATAAGGCAATAAATAAAATAGTCGACACTTTTTTATCAATATTTAGTTTTAAGCTTTCACTGTTTCACGTGAAGGAAATTATAATATTTGTCTAGAAGTTCTTAAAGGAGATTATGAAATCATTGTTTACTTTATTTATCCTAAAATAAACTTTGTACGATATAAAAAGCAAATATCTGGTTACTTAAAGCTTTAAAAAATATAGAAATTGTCGCTATAAAAATCATATTGTTGTAAGAGTTGAATTGAATTATAATGATGTGAAGTATAATTATTAAAATGATGTGAAGTACAATTATTAAAATGTGAAGTATAATTATTATAATGCTGTGAAGTATAATTATTAAAATGTGAAGTATAATTATTATAATGACGTGAAGTATAATTATTATAATGCCGTGAAGTATAATTATTAAAATGTGAAGTATAATTATTATAATGACGTGAAGTATAATTATTATAATGACGTGAAGTATAATTATCAAAATGACGTGAAGTATAATTATTATAATGACGTGAAGTATAATTATTAAAATGACGTGAAGTATAATTATTATAATGACGTGAAGTATAATTATTAA